TAAGGAGCTAAGAAACCAAGAAGCCAATATTTAACCGCATATATATATATACACACACACACACACACTAAAAGTTACTTATAAAAAAAGGGTAATTAACCACATTAATTCAGCCAAAAATGATAATGAATTTAGAATATTTAAACTAATGATTGCCTTACAACTTAAAAGGGATATCATGTATATTAGTACGTAATATTTTTATTTGATATGTCATTTCAACATGATACGTGTGTATATATATATATATATATATATAGAGAGAGAGAGAGAGAGAGCATATATACGTGTCTGATCATGGTAGGAACATCCATGTATTGATATTACGAAGCAATTCATGAAATGTCTATTGGAGAATATATAAGAAGGAAAGGAAAGGGAAAAGACAATGCACCATGAATGCAATTATAAATAGAAATTAAATAAATCAAGATTCTTAATTGAAATTTGCTCCATAAATTTCTAAAACTATCTTTATACTCCAACATCTCTACCCAAAACCGACCATCACTACCCAGCTTATTCCATTGCTTTATATATAAAGGTTTTAATTTATTATTTATTTATTAAGTACAGCATCTAATGTGTGTGTGCCTGTGCCTGTGCCTGTGCCTGTATATATATATATATATATATTATTTTCATTATAATTATTCTGATCCAAGAAAAAAAGAAATTACTATATATATATATATATATGTATATATCATTGTCTGTTGTACGGAAGCCTTTTTACTACATGGGAAAAATTGTACCAAGTCACCCATAACAGTAGCATTTTAAAAGAACAATCCACATTAGTATTATTATTATTATTATTATTATTATTATTATTGGAATCCATCAAAACGACAAAATTAAAAGAAATAAAAAGTTGTGTGTATATATATATATTCTCATTTACAAGCTTAATTGTCCTTTCCTAGCACAATTTTGTACATATATGAATATGTGATTACTAATTAAATAGGTATCAAAAACCACTAAAAGGGAAATTCTGTTTGCCCACTGCTTTCTCTCAAAACAACTTGCCCACCCAAAGTGTTGGTAATGTGGTTGCCATTTATATATATGTATACATACATATAGTATATGTATATCGTTCTCAAATTTAAGTACGTGCAAAAATTAACACAATCCTAAACTAAGCTAATGTAACATATCAATGAGAGGAATTCTCTTCTAATGAGTTGACTGCTTCTCGTTTAATTAATTAATTAATTAATTAATTAATTATATATATAATATTACATACATATGTTCCATCCTGAGTCATCAAAACCAATTATTAGATAAATTTAATTATATCTCTATACGCGCTTATATAGCTCATCACATGCAACAGCCCGTCTCTATACATACACATCCATGGAAAAGTTTAATTGTATTGTTGTTAATTTAAAACACTTTGATTGAATCATTGAAGTTTAGAAAATCAACCAAATAATATGACCTTCCAACCATGAAATGTTGAAAATGACAAGAAAAAAACTAATATACATATATATATATATATATGGACCTTTTGTAAATAAGAGTTTAATGGTCTCATATGCATGCCGCACATACACTTAAACACATTCATGCTTCCTCGAAATCGAGCTCGTATTAGTTAGGAGCATATATATGTGTTTATGTATATATATATATATAAGCTGTGTTTGTATATATAATGTAATAACATGGTTTTATTTAAATTTCAAAAATCTAAGGTTAAAAAAAAAAAAAAAAAAAAAAAACCAATTTCCTTTATATCAAATCAAAAGCAATTTTAATTTTAATTTTTTAAAAGAAAAAAGTGAGTTCAAATTAAATTATATTTTCATTAGTAATTTAATTGTATTATTTATTCATAAAATTCATTATATTACTATTAGTTATTTAAATATATAATTTTTACGCTCTAAAATTAAAAGATTCACGAGAAAAAGAATTTACTATGAATATCCGCACTTAACCTAGAAGCCAAATTTACGCGTAAGTACACAAGGAGGACATATCACAAAGAATTGGTGCATCCACTGCTTCAGCTGGTGACATATACGAGTGGATCATGTGTGTGTGTGTGTGTGTGTATATATATGGGGTGTAGATATGGATTTTGTCATAATCATTCTTCCACAATAGGAACCAAAAACATCTTTATCTTCTTCATCCGAGTGCTCTTTTATATTACCATTATAACTTCTCTGTTCAAAACTATACATATACACGCACACGCACATAACTATATACAAACATACCCTTCTTCCTACTGTATATATACATAAACCATTTCTGATAATTTCCTATATATTTTCTTTGATCTCTTCTCTTTCCTCCCATTATCTACTTCTTCACCACCGTGCCTATATATATACCTATATATATATATATATATATATACATAAGCATCTGTCTCTTAATTTCTTCAAATACACAAGTTGTCAGTACAGATCATTTTCTTCGACTACGCGCAAGTCGCCGCATATTTGACTCTAAAGGTACCATCCATGTCGTCTCTCTTTACACACACACACACACACAGACATATATAAATAAGGATTATAGCTAGCTTAGTTTAATTTTTTGAATGAATGGTTCAGGAAGAAATGAAGTTCTGCTTGTCTGCTGTGAAACAAGTACAGCCATTTATGAACTTCCAAGGAGCCGGGTTGACCATGGACGTCCCCTTCTTCCATCAGAAAGACAAGGTTGTGTTCGTCATGGGCGCCACCGGCACCGGAAAGTCCCGTCTCGCCATCGACTTAGCCACCAGGTTCCCGGCGGAGGTCATAAACTCCGACAAGATCCAAGTCTACAAAGGTCTCGACATTGTTACCAATAAGGTCACTCAAGAAGAATGCCGCGGCGTCCCTCACCATCTCCTCGGCGTAATACACCCCAACTCCACCTTCTCTCTCGCTGACTTCCACCATTTCGTTCCACCCACCGTTGACTCCATCCACAGACGAGACCGCCTCCCCATAATAGCTGGCGGCTCCAACTCCTATATCAGATCGTTGGTAAACGAATCCCCGGAGTTCCATTTGAGATATCAGTCCTGTTTCTTATGGATCGACGTCTCAATACCGGTGCTCCACACGTTCGTCTCCAAACGGGTCGAGAAGATGATCGAAAGCGGATTAATCGACGAAGTCCGGGGAGTATTCGATCCGAATTCGAGAGATTACTCTCGCGGAATCCGGAGAGCCATCGGTGTTCCCGAACTAGACCGGTACTGTCAAAGATTTATTATTTCTTTTACTCATAAATATTTTGCATTTGAAAGCAAGGAAATGAGTTTTCTTAATATAATTCTGTCTTTCTACAACAGGTACTTTAGAGAAGAATCGTTGGTGAGCAGGAAGGGTCGAGCTAGGTTGCTGGAGAAAGCGATTGCCACCATTAAAGAAAACACGTGCATGTTGGGTTGCCGGCAGCTGCAGAAGATTCATCGGCTTTACAGGCAGTGGAAACCGGAGTTTCATCGGATTGATGCAACGCAGGTGTTTCTGAAGGAGGGAGAGGAAGCAGATGAAGCTTGGGAGAAACATGTTGCGAAGCCGGCCGCCATTATCGTTGACCAATTTCTGTATGATGATGAAGTGAGTATTACTGTGCCGGTTGATGCGAGTAGTGGTGGTGGTGGGGTTGGTGTCGCCATTGCCACAGCTCCCGCTTCGGCTTCTCTTGCCATGATTCGATGAAAGGTCGAATGTCGGCCCCACAAAATCCACACTTTAGTTAAAAAAGGGAAAAAGAAAGTTAAATGAGAAACACACGTGATGATGACACGTGGCATGATGCAATATATATATATATATAGTTTTTTTTTTTTTTTTTTTTGCCATTTTAATTTTAAGTTGAAATTGCCTGGTCATTTAATCCGAATTTGTGACAATGTAACTGGAATTACCGATTGAGTATTTATAAGGAATATTATAATTTAATTTTGTTGCAATTTTTAATAATTATAGTTTATTTTTTATTATTTCAGATGAAGTTATTAAATCTTAAGAACATTATTCTACAATTTCTTTTTTTTTTTTTAATTTTGATTTGTTAAAACTAAACACGTTGGGATATTTTTTTATAATAAATAATTTGACCTAAAATTATTATTAAAAAAACCAAGACAAATATTATATGTTATTATTACTTGAATTTATTTTAGTATATATGTTATTAATTAGATAATATATAAACATTAATTTAATAATTAAAAATTTCCAATGAAAAATATAGAACAATGCATAACTAAACTTGACAAAACAAGGTGGGTAAGTTTATATAAAGTTATTTATTTTTCAAAAAAAATATTATTTAAACTTGCTAATATTTCTAAATGTGAAGAAGTAAAATACTTGAAGTCTAAATAAATTAAAATTTTAAGAATTAAAAAATAATAATGTGGGTAAAATTATAATTAATTGACAGAATAACATTCAAAAATATTTAGAATTAGATTGATTTTTGAAAAAATCGTATATTTTTCTTTTGGTATATATATTATATGTCTATGTGTATATATATATATATATATGTGTATCTATAATAACATAATCAATGGCATGCTTGTTACTGTCGATAAAATTACAGCTTTACTGTTTAATTATATTTTCCATTAAATTTTTATGTAGTTTTGTATATAAATATAAATAATTGCTAACTAATAAATTAATATAATGATATTAAACAATTAAATCATAAAAATTAAACTCTGGTAATTAAATCACAAACTTTCTTCAATTCCAAGCCTGAAGGCACAAAATGGGGCCCAGGAACCGCTTGATTTGATGGGGGAGCGTAGATGCCCTTGATTGACAGTTAAGCTGATAAATATTCAACGGCTGTGATTGATTATACGGGTATATGCGGTGTTTTGGTAAAGTTTGGAATCAAGCCCCAAAAAGTTTTTTTTTTTTAAAAAAAAAAGAAAAAAGCGTGTTTATGGTGGGCCAGGTCCAGAAAAAACTGTCTTCATGGCTCGTGGTAGCTACATGATTCCTCCAATGTACAGATTAAAAAACATTGGGACCCACTGACCATTCACCCTTTTAAAAGCCCAAGAGCTCACCTTATTTTTTTAATTTCATTTTATTTATTTATTCTAATTTTTATAAATAAATAATTTCTATAAATTATTGTTATTTTTTGAACCCAAATTCAAATAATTTCATATTTAATCATATAATGTCAAAGTTAATTCACCCTTAATTTATTATTTTAAGTTTTTTTTTTAAATGAAAAAATAATAAATTCATAA